TGAAGAACAGTTCCCTTTGATTATGAATATTCTAGACATAAAGAAGAAGAATTAGAGAGAATGAGAAATGAACTTCATTGGTTAAGAGAAAAACAAATGAATCAGTAATGTGCTACATTTATACAAACTAAGCAGAAATCTTGTTGTAACTAATCTAACCGACTCTTTACTAACTAACCCTCTGACTTCTATTAATTACATACAAACTCTTACTAATTACATGTAGGTCCTAATTGTTCTATGTAATACCTTCTTCAATAGTGTCCCATTATTAAGGAGTTCCAAGTAGACACTATAGGAACTACTTTCGCTATTAAAAAAAACTAGTGTTGCCTGTAATATTGGCGAACAAATGACCCTTAATTATGTACCGGGACAAATCGGAAACAATGTATTTTAACTTGACTAAGTTAATATAATATCTCCCGTTTTACCAAAAAAAAAAACTTGTTTAATCATTTCTTAATAAATGATTAAATATTGTTAAACCAACTACTTACTCATCCTAATTCCTCAATTGAGGTCTCTTTTATTGGGTATTTACCATCTAAATATTTCTTTTTTCATCCGGCGTTCAATATTCGCATTGCAGCCTGACTATTCTCAATTCACACGACGTAAGACCCAATTCTGAGAGAAGCGCTCCCAACCAAGGATATAAACATTGTTATACATCGTAAGTTTTCAAAATAGTAGGAAGTAGAAAAATCACCTTGAACTTCGTTAGTCCTTTGAATCCCAGATGAAAATCTAGAATCATGTGTTAGTTTGGAGTTGATTTGAAGTTTTGATGATTTAACAAACTTCCGAATCTAACAAGGGATCCAATCGAGAAAAGATTATGTACGTGAAAAAGAGAAAAGACAACTGTCTAAAAGCTGTCAAATCTGTTGTGGCTGGTGCATGTCTTTTCATAGCAGCAAGCTCAGCCAATGGCTTTGTCCCAAGGGTTTGTGTCTATTTTATATTAGTCTCTTCTCCAAAGACACAACCTAAATTTTGGCAAACAAACTTTTGAATTCTGAAAATTCATAAGCTCACAAAGAAAAAGTCATCTTCAAGAAAGAGCATTGTTCATACTCAACAAGGGACTTGATGGAGTGTTGAAGCGTCGTTTGTTGTAGTTTGAGCTTTGTGTGTTGTGTTCTTATATTGTAAATCTACTCCTAAGTTATAACGGTTAGTAGATCGGTTGCTTGTCTAAGTCTTTAGTTTGAGTCGGATTAACTAGAACCGTTAGTTGAATCATCTATGTTTTTCGTCAAGCCTCTTTACATCATTGTTTTGATGTTCTCTTTGGTAGAGTTGCCTAGGAGTGTCAACTAGAGTTAGTTGATGTGTGGGTGCAACATAGTTGCTGCTTGCTTATGCTCCTATCTGTGAGATCTGAGTTGGTGGCTAAAGTCGGCCTTGTTGGGTTCTTGAAGTCTAGATTAACTAGAGCTAGTTGGTTTAGTTGACAATAGAGTTATTGCTTAGTTTCCTTTGTAGTAGAGTTGCTACAATAAGGAGGAAGGGATTAAGAGTTCAATCCTTAGGTTACAAGAGTTTGTAATATGAAGCTTTGCTCCTTTTTATAGTTAAATGGAGTTTGGATGGAAATCATGTGGGTACAGGTCATGGTTTTCTCCTCCCTTGAGCAAGGGGGTTTCCACGTAAAATCTCTTGTGTTTGATTTACCTTGAGTTATTTATTTTCCGCACTATTAGTTTGTCGAGGGACCTGGTCCAGTGATCATTAATGGACGCATACATTCTAACATCATGAAATTTCTAGGTCTTACTAGATAATGAAAGGCTCTAGGACTTTTTGATAATTACTTATGTGTGTATTTTTTACCGCTAAAATGTGTTTTTGTTACTGTGCGTGCAGTATTAGGATTAAATAAAAACCAAAATAGAACAAAAAAAAATCGATTTTTGATGTTTTGTATTGATTTAGGGTTATGAATTTAAATTTTGTTTATCATTGGTAGAACTACTCCACTATCACTAACACTAAGGGGTCGTTTGGTAGAGTGTATAAGAACAATGCAAAATAGGGTGCATTAGTAATGCTTGCATTAGTAGTGCGTGCATTAGTAATGCAAGTATTATTTCTTATACATTGTTTGGTTTGATGTATTAGAAATAACAAATCTTGCATAATTACTATTAAATAATATATGTTTACAAAAATACCCTTCATACTTTAGTTATTTGTACACTTCCTTTGCAAGAAAGTTCTTTGCTAAAACATCAAAAAAGATTTATTTGCTAAAACATCATTAACTCTTCATCTTTTTCTTTTTTTTAAAAAATAGTATTAAATAGTTATACTATTGAGTCAAAATATTTTTGTGAAAGTTGGCAAATATTTTTTTTTATCAAATTTATTGTCACAATAGTAAAAATTTTGATTAAATTATATTGAAATTAGATTTTTTTTTTAAAAATAACTTAAAAGGCCATAAAGTCTATTAAGACACCGAAAAGCAAATAAAAATAAAAACAAAAACTTATGACAACAAAGAAAATGAAAAGGCTTTTAAAGGGTAGTTTTTGTAATTATTTGATCTAATGCAAGTGTTAAAATGCTATGTATTACTAATACCTAGAATTCCTTGATATTAGTAATACACAACTTAATACACAATAGAGTGTATAACTAATGCCTGCATTAGTTATACATGGCATGAAAAAATGTATCAAACAAGGTACTACTAATACACACACCTAATACATGCTTTATATTTCTTAATACACTCTACCAAACAACCCCTAACACTAAATCTAAGTTCATGAACGAGAAAGATGCAAGTCATTATCACTTTTCAGCTAAGAAGAAAAAGAACAATAAGTAAGGTAGAGAGAGTCAAACACACTCACAGCCGAAAAAATTAGAGAGAAGAAATCAAAGCCTTCTTTCATTTTTGGCATGTCGGCAAAAACTTAATATCAGCGCTACCCTTTATATACAGAATTTACAAAAGGATTATGGATACTGTAATAATCTCTTTAATATCATTTCATAAAAATAAATATATTCATATCAACAACCCTTTTATCACAAAAATGTATGTGTAACTAAATTTTCGACTAATTTCCTTGCCCATCAAACGCACAAAAATATTTCCATTAGGTCATAAATTTCATTTTATTTTGTTACTCCTATATATGAATTATTTAAAGATTTTATCTCATCGTTTAATTAATAATGAATTTTGATCTGGCATATTAGTGTTTAATATATTTAGTGTGAAAGGGAAAAGGAAAAAAAGGAGATGTAAGCCACTTGGATGAATACTCCAAATGTATGAAGCCCCCACTAGCATTCCACTGAGACTGGTAGGGAAGCTGCCCATCATCCGGACTTATCCTCCATTTTTGCTCTTCATTCATTCAACTTCCTAACAATATAACTTATGGCCATTTACAAACTGATGAGAAGAAAATGATTTTACTGGATAATTTATATGTAAAAGTGATTGTTTTACTAATACTATGTTTGGATCATTGTTATCCATTGTATTGTATTGTATCGTTATCATACCTACGATGTTTGTTTTGATTGTTACTTAAATGTATTGTATTGTATTGTATTGTATTGTTAAATTTCGTTGTTACGTAACAATGAAAACTCCCATTTTTGGAACAACCGATTTGGTGTGTTCCCATTGTTACTTAATTTCTTTTTCTAATTATATCCTTACATAATATTTCATAATACTATTTTACCCTTTACCCTATATTATTTAATTCTAGTCAAACCTCCTACCCTAGAATAATTAAGGATATTTTAGTAAATTTATAAATTACAATATAGTAAGATACAGTCAAACCAAACAATAAAAATGTTATTAAACAACAACAAACAATACAGTCTAGCCAAACATTGTATCTACCATACAATACAATTATACAATACAATACATTATGAAACAATGGCTAACAATGATCCAAACAAAGTGTAAGAAGTACATAAAATTAAAAGGCTATCAAATATAAGTGAGTATATGGATTGATTTATTTAAAGTAGTTTTTTTTTTTAAAAAAAATATTTGAAAGTGTTTAGAAAACACCAAAAATGCTTTTAAACACTTTTTTAGACGGAAAAAGTCAAGAAAAACAAAACCTAGAAGTTTCAATTTGTTTGACCTAGTTTTTTTTGCGTTTCAACTTTTCACATGACATATTTAAAATCACAAAATTAAATAACATTTTACAATTTTTAATTCTAGACCACAAAATCTAAAAGTTTTCTTTACTCTTTTAAATTTTGTGATAATTCAAAATAGGAGTTAATATCTCATATGGTCACTCAACTTTGAATTGTTCAATTTAAAGTCATTCAACTTTGAGTTGTCCACTTAGAAAGTCACTCAACGTTGTTTTATAACTCAAAAGTCACTCGACTATTGAGGTTTCACTTAGAATGTCACTTAACTATTGATATTTCACTTAGAAAGTCACTCAATCAATTTAAATTTTTTTCATAAAATTTTATTGAAATTTATTTTTATGTTAAACTATTTTTTAAAGAAATAATAAGATATTTATTCTAATTATTTTGTTAATCCGAATTATTTAATTAGTATATTTTTTTAAAAAAAAACATACCGTAGCAATTGACCCCACAAAAAACTTTTTATGTTTTAGCAATCATATAACTGGAATTAAATATGTTAAAAATGATCCAAAGAGTTGGAATTGATAAGAAGTAATAAAAAATACTCAGCACAGTGCCCTTTTAAAAAAAAAAAAAGTAGGTAAAAAGAAAAATTATACTTCAACAAAATTCAATAAAATAATTAAAATAAGCATCTTATTTTATTTTTTTAAAATAGTTAATATTTTATTTGTATTTTACAAAATTTAATGAAAAAAAATAATTAAAATTAGTTGGGTGGCTTTTTAAGTAAAATATCAATAGTTACGTGACTTTTTAAGTAAACTATAATAGTTGAGTGACTTTTCAGTTATAAAACAAAGTTGAGTGACTTTTGAAGTGAACAACTCAAAGTTAAGTGACTTTCTAAGTGAACTATTGAAAGTTGAGTGACCATCTGAGATATTAAATCTTCAAAATAGGTCACTCAATTTGAAACGGAGGGATAAGTCACTTTAAAAAAGCGAAACCCCCACCCCACACACATAACACATTTGTGGACAAGTTGTAAATTAGATAAGGCAGAAATATCGGGGAGAGAGGCCTATAAAATGATGGCCCTTCATGAACCAAAATATTGCATTGCCATAACACATAATTCTCCTATACGTCTATATCTTTCTCCTTCTTCTTAGCAATAATAGTATTGTTGTCATGGCTCGCAATTACGCTTTCTATTTCACTATTGCTATTTTGGTGATGTCTGGTAAATAATTTATATATTTCTACGCCTCATTATATATCTTTTTATTTTATTTGATAATTGGTATATATATGTTTATTATCTTTTATACATTTGAATAACAATATTTTATTTGATTTTTCAATTAGTTTATTTGGATGAGTCTACGAAAGTGAAAATAGATGCTGCGAGAGACGTAACAGATTTGAAATCAAAAGTGAATGGTTATAACTTGTTGGGTGGTTGTGGTGGATCCTGTCGACAGAGTAGTGATTGTTATGTTCGGACATGTCCCCGTTGTCTCTACGATGTTCTTGCACATACCTACAGCTGCCACTAGTAAAGGATCCATCATTCATGGCCAACACAATATGAATTATTTTCTATAAATAAGTTTGTGTGCCTTTAATTTGCTTGTGTGTTTTCCTTTTCTCATTTAAGCTTTCTTTTTTTTTTTATTGGAAAAAATAGAACGACTAAGTTCTACTTCTACCTTATAATAATAATAGAGGAAGGATAATGTCGGATGTAATATCTATCAAGATGAGTTGTGTTGGCCTACAATATTTGTACTTTTCGTTTGGAGTGGAACTCTATAATCAATTTGCTTTATGGAAGATTTGCTTTCTGTTTACTAAAGATAGCTATCTTAGTTGGGTTCATGAGGAGGGAATGCGGACCATATATATATATACACAGTGGTGGACCCAGGATTTGAAGATTTCGGGTACATCAATATTATCTTAGCTTAAATATGAGCTCTAAGATAAATTTAAAAAATAAAAATAATAAAATAGCATTGTAGCTATATTCAAACTCAGGTCTCGTGGGTGGTTTCTCTATACTTTTATGAGTGCACAGTTAATTATATCCTAATTTATGTCAGTTTCTCAAGATAGACATACACCTATACACATGATTTTTTTCAAAGTTAACCGGTGCACGTACACGCCTCCCTATAGGGTGGATCCGCCTCTGTATATATATATCCAAAATATGATTGGAGTTGGACCAATTAATATTATTGCAAAACGAATAAGGTTTGTTGGTGGATGTTTGTAAAATAGTGTTTTTCACTGATTTTGTTGAGGATTAAAGTTTCTGGGAAGGATCATGGGTTATGTTGCGGTGGTGGAACTGCTCGACCTTAATTAAAGATTTCAGATTCGAACTCTGAATGTGGAGAAAAATTTGTTGAGAGCAACACCTCTAGAATGGGCCCTGTAGTGCGCGATTTAAATTTAATCAAAGTTTCATATATATGCAAACACCAGACGCTAAGCGAGAAACAAATATATACATTTGCATACTATTCTCTTAATGAACAACTATTTAATTATGTTCTCTATTTTTTAAAAGTGGACGCAAATTAAATAGCAATGCCCTGATAGATCACACCACCAATTTTTTATTGGAAAAGAACACTTGTATATCTCAAAAAGGGAAACTATTTATAAGCGGCTATTTTCTTACTTTATATCTTCCCTTCTTATTTTTAACTATTAATTCAAATTGATCGCTCGATACCATCGAAGTATATATTGATGGTATCAAAGAGGAAGAAACAGTGCTTCAGTGAAAACACTACTCAGTTACTCCTTGATACCATTAGAGTATATATATACTTTGATTGTATCAAGAAGGAAGAAGCAGTGTTTCAGTGAAAAGACTATTCAATTATTGATTGATACCATTAGAGTATATATATACTTCGATTGCATCAAGAAGGAAGAGGCAGTGTTTCAGTGAAAAGACTATTCAATTATTGATTGATACTATGAGAGTATATAGATACCATATACTCTGATGTTATCAACAGTGATTCAGTGAATAGAACAAGGGGAAATCAGATAAATAGTTTGGGTTGTTGGTTCAATCTGGATAAATATATTGGATTTTGGGTCCAATTTAAATAAATATTTTGCCTAGTGGGTCCAATTTGTGTTGTTTTTTCTATAACTCCAATTTCACAATAGAAACATTCAAATATTATAATCACTAAACTCACAGTTACAACAGAAAATGGAACTAACAAGGAAATTGCAGAACAATAATGAACTAGTAATAAAGCAAAGAAATTATTGAAGAAGATAACTAGAAGGAAGATGAGAAGCTTAAACTCAAAGAAAGGGGATGAGAGAGCTAGACATTTTTCTCAATAATTTGCCTAAACCGTTCTTTCTCATCCGTCATCCTTTTAACTAGTTGTTAATTGAGTCTGGATCCCAAATCAACTTATGCAAAGACCTTCCAATTTTCTTCTCAGCCCAATAACTAGTTGTGTGACATCCGTATAGGTTTCAACATTAGGCTGAGATTGGTTCATAGTATATTCTCAATTTTTAATTACCCAAAAGACTTTTGGCAGAATTGCTGGCACGACCACTGGCTCTAGACGATGTGCGTACCGAAAGGGTGTCGCAAAATACTTACCGATGAGGAATAGTATCTTTGGTTGATCTGTCCTTCTTCCTTCTTTCTTCGTAGATTATTTAAAAGTGCTTTCGACTTTTAAGTAAATTTTTATAGTTTTAGAGGTGTTTGATAAGGTTATAAAGTATTTTTAAGCACTTATTTTTAGGCCAAAAAATTCAAAAATAAGTTAAAGGTACAAGTAGAGTACCATCTACTTGTCACTTTTAACTTTTGACTTATAAGTTACTTTTTATAAGCTTATCCAAACAGATCAATAGTGTGAAATGGAAAAGGCTTCTTGAATAAATATATATTTTGTAAACAGTTTTATTAGGTGAAGTGAATTGAACATGTGCATATTGTGAAATGGAAAGTAAAACGGAGAAAGTGCCTAAGCCACTTTTATATCAAAGATATTATTACATTTGTAGTTATTCTATAAATCTAGTTAAATCCAAATCTATGACGATGACCACTAGCATATGTCCCTTTGAGAGATTAAAAGAAGAAGGAGACTACTAAAAATGTGCTCAATAGCCAGACTTATCCTTTCCTTTTGCTTGCATATAATTGATTCAACAAATATTGGTGCCTAATTATATAACTTCGTTAAAGACAGCTGTAAATTTAATGTTATGATCAATCGCTTATTATTATATTAAAAATATAATTGATAGTAAATGTATAACTTTATTTCTTAATTAATAAGTCCACAAAGAAAGCATTATGTTCGATCATGACTAGATCGATCCAATAGGGACGACAGAGCTAAGTAGGTGTTCGGGAGTTCAGACAAATCCACTATCAACAATAGTTTCTTAAAAAAAAAAACATGTTTTGCAATATTCTAACCTTCTGTCCTAAAATGTAGAACCTCCTAACTCCTAATCTTGGCTCCGCCTCTGCGACCCGAGACACCTCAACCCCCTCATGGGCCTAACGTTACCCAATATTTAGATAGACAGAAATATGAGGGAGAGATGCCTATAAATTCATTGCCTTTCATGAAGCAAAAAAATTGCACTACAATAACATTACATAATTCTCTCTCCTCTCTCTATCCATCTTAATTAGTACGTAATACTATAGTCTATATTGTTATGGTTCGCAATTACGCTTTCTATTTCGCTGTTGTGCTTATTGTGATATCTGGTAATGTTCTTTTACTTAGCACTTCCCCCTCTTTTCATTATACAGTATAATTTTTTAACGTTCGAGCAAAAATGATAATTGATTTTGACACTTGATTATTATTTTTTTTGATGGAATATAGTTTATTTGGCGAAGTCTCCAAATGTGAAAGTAATTGCTGCAAGAGACTTATCGCAGACTATAACAGATTTGAAATCAAAACTCAATGGTTATAAGTTGATGGGTGGTTGTGGTGGATACTGTAGACAGAAGAGCGATTGCTTCGATAGGACATGTCCCCGTTGTTACTATGATATTATTAAACTTACTTACGGCTGCCACTCGTAAAGGATCGTCGATCGTCGATGGCCAAGACAATATGATTTATGTTACTTCTAAGTTCTAAATATATGAGTAAATGTTTGTGTGGTTTAATGTCTTTAAGCTTTTTTTGTGGGAAAAAATAAAACGACTTAAGTTCTACTTCTAGTTATAATAGTGGTCGGACAATGTAGGATGTAATGTATATTTATCAATATGAATGAAGTTGGAGTGAATAATTTTTTTTTTGCGAATTTCAATAATAAAACATATGATTTAATATTCAAATCTATCAAATATGTGTACTCTTTTTTTTTGCATTAGAATTTATTTTATTAATTTTTTTCTAGTAAAATTTTAAGGAAGCATAATATTTATGAGTAATAAACATCTAATTGTATTGTGATTGTCCAGCTAAATACATAAACTTTTTAGTAAGTTTGATCAAGAAAGCAACTTGTAAGTAGCTTAAGAAGATAGCTAGCAAACAACTTTCTGAAAAGTCAATACAATAACTTTCTCAAACTTGCAATCAAGCAGACTATTTACAAGTAGCTCAAGTAGATAGGTTGTAAGTAGCTCAAACAATTTTTTTAATGTAAATTTTATGTATTCGATAGCGTGAGTCGTCTTTTATTTCATCAAAAATCTATACAACGCACAAGCAGAGGGGGACAATATGGCACTAAACCTTCATAAATAAGTATTAATATACAATCTTTAAGACAGATATATCATGTACAATAAAAACTAAAGAAAGATATATCATAGCTAGTGACTTCAAATATATTCTTTCTTTGCCTGTGTTTTATGAAAAGCCTTGCAGCAAATTCTCCCTCTTCTTCTTTTTATAAATAAAAAGTTATATATGTTTATGTGTACAATAGTCCGAAGAAAAATAAAATCTCTCTCTCCCTCAATCTTTTTGACCATATCTTAATATTTATTATTATTTCATAAACAATGGTAGGTGAAGCGAATTGAAACATGTGAATAGTGTGAGATGGAATGCATATACATTTTAATTTTATGTATTATTAATATCTTATTTTGTATATTTTTTTTATATCTATGTATAACTAATAACTACACATTATATTTGGTATTAGGCTATTTATAACTAATACACGACAAATAATTAGAAATGCAAGTATTTTTAATGCATGCATTAGCATGATTACAGACACAATTGCCTCTCATCAAAACCTTCTCCTCATCCTTCCAAATAGCTTAAAGGTTATTTTTGTAGATGAATATATAATTTTAAAAAAAATTATGCACTGCGTAATATTTTTTTTAATATACAATAACTCAACATAGTTAATAAATGTATTACAAAATGCATCCTATTATATTATACACCCCTACCAAACGATCCATGTGTAAGCCACGTGCATAGCAAAGGCATTATATTCGTCTTTAATATATATATATATATATATATATAAAATACCTAGGTAAAATCCAAATCCATGACGATGACCAACTAGAAAGGTGCTCACTTATCCCTCCCCTTTTTCTTGCATGAAATTGATTCAACAATCGATACCTAATTATAAATCTTAGTTCAAGAAAAAGTTGTAAATTAGATTGGTAAAAGTATTAGGAAAAGAAGCCTATAAATTCATTGCTTTTCATGAAGCAAAATATTAACAATACATCTTTCTCGTATATATCTTTCTCCGCCTTAGCAAAATTCTTGTCATGACTCGCTATTACGCTTTCTATTTCATTGTTACGCTTCTGGTGATCTCTGATAAATAGCATTTTTCTACGCTTTCCTCTCTTGTTTTGTTCGATCTGTCTCTATATATGTGTCATCTTTTACACGTACACAAGAACAACAATGGCTATATATATACCATATATCGATTTTGACACTTGATTTTTTAATGGATTATATAGTTTACTTGAATGAGTCTCCAAGAGTGAAAACAGCCGCTATGAGAGAACTAAGTGGATATAACTTTATCATTGGGCGTGTCCCTATTGTTACTACGATGTTAAAAAACATACCTATGTCTGCCATTCATAAAGGGTCGATCATTGATGGCCAACACAATATAAATTATGTTGCTTCTATGTTCTAAGTATTTTTTTTTAAAAAAAATTCAAAGCTTCCCTCAACGGGGATTCAATAGATAAGTCAAAGGAGCATTGAGGGGGTGAAACCTGACCTCCACATTACAAAACTAGGAGTGACTAGTGAGGGCACATCTTACTCTCTAACTTATCAAAATAAAAGGAAAGAAAAAGAAGGAGGGTTACTCCTCATCACATAAGCTTACAAAAAGTTCTAGAATTCATATTCTATAAGCTTACAAAAAGTTCTAGAATTCATATTCTATGTTCTAAGTATGACATAGTGTTTTGTATTTTTCTTTATAAACTAAAATGACTTTAGTTCTACTTCTATCAATAAAACTAAGGACAATGTCAGATATGTAATAGGATGTAATATCAAGATGGGTTGTGTTTGACTTACAACTGTTTAATTTTGAATGAAATTACTCTATGATCATTTTGATTACTCTATCATTTATCAAGATTTGTTTTCTCTTTACTCTAGTTTTTTTTCATGTACATGTTTTCATGTCAAAGATATTACTTTCTTCGGTCTATATACTTTAATGTTTTTTTAGTACAAAATAAGTAGTGTTTTATTTAATCAAGAAATATTGATTTTTATTTTTTTAGATTTTACCTTATTTACAAATTACGAAGAGGTTCTTCTGAATCACAAAGAGTACATAGGTATGTATTAACATGAGTTGTGGATTTATAGTGAGATGGTTACGTTTGAGATTCCTTCTCAAGAAATCAAATATAAGGTCTTGGGTTCGATCCACTTAAATGAAAAAAATCATGCAGGGAGAGTGTAGTCCTCAAAAATAAGCCCTTTAACGCGCAAATCCAAATTTAATCAGGCTTTATAATGGCTATCAGACACCGAATGAAAAATCGTAAAAATAAATATTAAATAGATACTCTTACCCTTTTTTTTCAAAGGCATTTAATCAAAGATAATTTAGTCAAAATTCTTCTTAGTTAGCTTCTAAGAGTTAAAGTAATTTTTTAGGAGATATACAAAATACGAGAACATCAAATAATATGGATCGCAAGGAAGGTGAAAGAGGAGGGAGGCATGCAAATGAATTTTATTTTTTCTTGACATAAATATAAAGCAACATATATAAGTTGTGCCTTTCGATCAAAAATTTAAGGAAGAGGAAAAAGGTCCCTATATGCCAATATTTGGACCAATATTGATAAGAAAATAGATGGAATAGTAGATTATTAGTAGCCAAATTTTTAAAAAGTTAAATTTAAGAAATCACAAAAAATATGTTATCCCTGTTCGAGATGATATAACTTACTAGTATAAGTTATAAAATAAGTATTCCCTACATATCAATTATTTGAAAACTCAAGGTTAATTGAAGAAGACTTATGTACACCCCACCATGTATATCTGTGTATATCATCACATATGTCAATGTATATTAGCATGTATATCTTTTTATATCATGTATATCATTGAAAATCTGTGTGATATACAACATGGTATACATATGTCACATTGACATGGAATCTTTTGAAATCGTGACACTTGCATTCAAAGAAATACCCATGAATATGTCACGACTCAAATTTGTTGTCTAGACGCAATAGACACCTAAGGTGCAACTATCCTTTCTTAGGCAAACCAATTATCTTGTATAATTTTTAGTGATCAACCTCTCATGATTAAAGTGATACATAAATTATGTAATTCAAAAGCAACAAAACTAAATAAAGTGAAATGTCAACTATAGCTCAAAGTTCTTTCTACACTGCCAAGGAGCATTTAAAAGACAAAAGTAAACGAGTAAAGACATCCTGCAGAACTATTCTTCTCGTCCCCATGAAATGTTACTTTGTTGTCCAAGTGTAAGAGATATGTTATGGTACTTCCTCTTTTGTTTGCCGTTGGAAAGCTGAAAAGCAAACAAAGTCGGAACTCTTGTTGCTAGGTATATAAAGTCTAATAGTATTAATAAATATTGTAATTCAATTCTTAATTACCCTCCTCCTTGGATACTAACATCAGTCATACTCTACCACTCTCTTATACTGATACATCTTAAGATATACTAATATATTACATCGTTTTGTACCCAAAAAAACAAAAAAAAATGTAAGCGATATGTACATATAAAGGACTAAAGAATGAATACAATAGTTAACCATAGTTGAGAAAATTGATATGCGAAGTGGTTATAACTTATAACCTATATATATTCCCCTCATTCACTTTTACTTATTATATTTAGATTTTCTTTAATCACTTTTATTTTTTGTTATTATTATTTTATATATATTCAATTTTACTTGTCACTTTTAACATATCAAGAAAAGACAATTATTTGTTTCCATCTTTATCCTTAATATTAATTACATATTCTTCAAACCATGTTCTAAGACCTAATACTCCCTCTGTATCTAATTACTTGTCCATTTTTTCTTTTTTAGTTGTCCCTAATTACTTGTCCATTTTGACAAATCAAGAAAGGACAGTTTTTTTTACCTATTATACCCTCAATTAATTACTTTGAAAAAGGTATAACTTTTTGAAAATCTTAAGTTTTTAATTCATCCATTTCATAATTAATAGAGTTAAAATAGTAAACTCATTATGTCAATAATTATTTTCTTGATAGGTGTGCCAATTCAAAAGTGGACAACTAATTAGGGACAGAAGGAGTACTAAATATCAGTTAGAAGAGATACTCTATCTATCCCTAATTACTTGTCCATTTTTTAATCGACACACCTATTAAAAAATAATTATTAACATAGTTAGTTTACAATTTTACCCCTATTAGTTATGAATGGGATGAATTAAAAATTTAAGATTTTCAAGAAGTTCTACAATTTTCAAAGTAATTAATTGAGAGTATAATATGTTTAAAAAAATCATCATTTCTTAATTTGTCAAAATAGACAAATAATTAGGAACAATTGAAAAAGAAAAATTGACAAGTAATTGGAGACAAAAAAAGTAGTATAGTAAACTAATCATATCATTCGTACTTTTTAGTAAATATGTCAAATTCAAATATAACAAGTAAAAGTGAATGGACAGAAGGTAAAACAGTTGGAGTATATTCTCTAAAATTGAGGTAAAGGAAATCAGGTGAAGTTATGACCTTTCTAGAATGGGTGAGATGGATGTGTTGTCATGGAGGATAGCAACAAGGAAAAAGGCTGCTCA